AATAATAATAATAATAATAATAATAATAATAATAATAATAATAATAAATCACAGGCTGCTCCATTAGCTAAGACTTGGTGATGAGTCATGAAGGTGGACTAAGTTCTCCATCATCCACTTGCATACTGAACTGATTAGTATCTCCAATTCTCCCTGAGCTGGTTCAGATGAACTATTACATGCTATTAAGAATAAAATAGGCTTGTCTTTCTAGATGGGTATGTCTTCAGTCAATCTAAATTGAAGTTTACAAAGTGAAGTAAATCACTAATTTTTTTTAATGACCTGAATGAGCTGACTTCTTACATCATAGTCCGTGAAAATGCTTCCAACAGAGTCAAAAAGGAGAAATTCTATCTTAACAAGCACTCAGAGCAAAGCCATTAGATGAATAAACATCCAAGAAAGAAGAAAACAGAATATATTAATATCAGGGAGGAGATTCAATAAATCAATAAAAATTATTAACTCAAGATGCAGGAAGAATTAACCAATATAAAATTCATTTCACTGTTTTAAAATTATGAACTTGGAGCCGGGGAGTTGGCTCAGCATTTAATAATAGGTGCTTTACAGAAGCTTTTCAGTTTCATGAGGTCCCATTTATTGATTGTTGTTCTTAGAGCCTGTGCTGTTGGTGTTCTGTTCAGGAAGTTTTCTCCTGTGCCAATGAGTTCTAGGCTCTTCCCCACTCTTTCATCTAACAGGTTTAGTGTGTCTGGTTTTATATTGAGGTCTTTGATCCACTTGGACTTTAGTTTTGTGCAGGGTGATAAGTATGGATCTATTTTAATTTTTCTACATGTAGACATCCAGTTAGACCAGCACCATTTGTTGAAGATGCTCTCTTTTTACCATTGTATGGTTTTGGCATCTTTGTAAAAAAAAATCAGGTGTCCATAAGTGTGTGGGTTTATTTCTGGGTCTTCTGTTCGGTTCCATTGATCCACCATTCTGTTTCTATGCCAGTACCATGCAGTTTTTATAACTGTTGCTCTATAGTACAGCTTGAGATCAGGGATGGAGATACATCCAGATGAATTGTTATTATAGAGGATTGTTTTAGCAATTCTGGGTTTCTTGTTATTCCATATGAAGAAAATCTGAGCACAGGGGTCTTCCCTGAGACTGATAGTCCAACCAAGTAGCATGCATGGAGATAACCCAGAACCCTTGCACAGATGTAGCCCATGGCAGCTCAGTATCCAAGTGGGCTCCCTACTAAGGGTAGGGGCTGTCTCTGACATGAACTGATTGGCCTGCTCTTCAATCACCTCCCCCTGAGGGGGAAGCAGCCTTACCAGGCCACAGAAGATGACAATGCAGCCACTCCTGCTGAGACCTAATAGACTAGGATCAGAAGGAAGGAAAAGAAGACCTCCCCTACCAGTAGACTTGGGGAGGGGCATGCGTTGAGAAGAAGAAGGAAGGGAGGTATTGGAAGGGGAGGAGGGAGGGAACTACAAGGGGGATACAAAGTAAATAAAGTGTAATTAATAAAAAAATTAAAAAAAAACAATAGGTGCTGCTTTTGCAGAGGATCTTAGTTTGATTCTGAGAACCCACATAGCAGCTCACAACTTCCTTTGACTCCAGTTCCAGGAGTTCTGAAACCTCTTCTGGTCTCCATGGTCATTGAATGCATGTAGCATACACACACACACACACACACACACACACACAGAAAGACATACATATACATAAATAAAAAGAAATCTTTAAAAATAATAAAGTGAATAATATTGTGAACTTGATTTACATCAAAAAGTATGCTAAAGAGAATGAGGATATTAGCTATAGAATGGAAAAACATACCACCGTATTGATCATGGAAATATGAAATAAAATCACAACGAGATACTATTATGCAACCACCAGAATAGCAAAAGTGTAAAATGTGATCAAGTGTTTGTGAGGATTTGGAGCAAATGAATTCCCACATTTTATTGTTGTTAAAAATGGAAAATAGAACAGCTGATTTAGAAAGCAGTATCTATAAAGCCTAAAATATTACTATCTAGCAATTCAGTTCCTGCATGTGTGGCCAAAAGAAATACATGTATTTGTTCACCAAAGATATATACCTGAAGGTTCATATCAGGACTATTTCTAAGTCCCAAATTTAATGGTAACTCATATACATATGTTTGTACTATATTAATCTAATGGAATACAATAGAACATAAAATAACAGATTATATAAACTATAATTACAACACAGATGAATATCTCAGCTTTAATGCTTAGTGAAAGAAAAACCCAAGGATATGTACAGTGTTGACCCTTACATAGTTTAAAAAATGAAAACAAGCAAAATTGAACTGTTTTCTTTAAGAATGTGTGGTTAGAAGAGGTAAACTTTTAAAAAAGCAAAGAAATAAGATCATTATAAACATCAGAAGAGTGGTTACCCTTAGTGGAGAGATAGAAGGGTGTGAATAGAAAGAGATAAGTACTTTTTTGGGCCATATCTGCATGTCTGAATGAAAGGTATTTATGTGTATATTTCAGTTCAGAACTTTAAAATATTATTTTTAAATTTTAAGAGATCCAAAAAATAGAAACCTGGCTCTCTTATATTTAGAGTATGTTTTTAAGGTCTATATTTATTCAACATTAAATAATAATTTTTAAAGATTTGTTTATTTATGTATATGAGTGTGCTATTTGCATGTGTGCCTCACAACAGAAAAGGTCATTAGATCCCATTGTAAATTGTTGAGCCAGTATGTGGTTTCTGTGAATTAAATTCAGGACCTCCAAAAGAGCAGCCAGTGCTCTAAACTGCTGAGCCATCTCTGCAGACCTCAACAATAAATTTTTAGTATGTATTTTGTATTAGATAATGTTCCAACTCCTAGGAATGAAGCAGTAGACAAAATACACAAAACCCTGATATTCAAAAACTTACACACTAGTAAAGAGAGTATTTCAAAGGGGTTGAAGTGGTTAACTATACAAATAATTTTTAGCTAGCTAATAAAATAAGGGCATAACATTTTGTGAACTTCTGACGTCAAGATATTTGGCATTTGCCAGTTTAGTTCACATACATGTTGTATACAACCCAAACCAAACTATACCCCTAAAGGATTATTCATATTGAGAAACTGTGTCACCGTGAACTTATTTGTTCAAACTAGAAAGCTGAAGATTACTCTTTTCTTTTTTTCCTTTCCCTTTTCTACCCCTTTCTCATTCTTTCTTTCTCCCTCTTTCTCTCCTTCCTTCCTTCCTTCCTTCCTTCCTTCCTTCCTTCCTTCCTTCC